TTCTTGAGGAAGAGAAGGTGACATAGTTATGTCCCCAAGAATAGTTATGAATATACAAATTTTTGCTCTTTGAGAAGAGCAAAATTGAACTGTTTAAATCATCCCCTTTTTCTAGTGAAGTTGATCAGTACTAGCTGACTTTTGCTGTCAGGGAAACTTGTGTCAGCACAGACTATGTGACAACACGGCACTCATGCACATTAGAGGAAGGCAGTAAAATCCACACCTAAAGCACACACTGTAAACCTCCCTCTTTGCCAAGGATTTGTGCTGTAGGCAGGCAAACAGCTGTGTGAAAGTAACTATAGGCTGAGCATGTAAAAGCGCTGCTCACATGACAGATCTTCAAAGAACCTTCTCAGCCCAACCTTTTTGCTTGACTCGGTTTGGGGAGCAAATGTTTTTATGCTGATGCCAGCGTCCTGTGTTTTTCAACCATGGGAAAAGCCTTGGAAACCAAAGGGGAAAAGCTGTGTTGCCCTCCAGAGCAGAGTGTCTGCCATGCCCTGAGGGCTGTGAGGGACGCATTCCAGCAGTTTGTATGGGCGGGGACTTCGGGTCAGCCTTAACACCTTGGAGGGCCTCACTTAAGAGATGTGTTCAGACTTTGTCCCTCCCAGACTTCAAAGCTGAGTGGTAATTAGTTTATTGTAAAACACTGTATGTACCTCAAAAAAGCTTCCAGACATCCTCAGCTGACAGAGAGGATTACAGGGTTCACTTTCCTTCTGAGGTAGTGAAGTGCTGCTCTTTGAGCACATGTTCAGCCACCACTAAACTCCAGATGCTCCCACTTAGTTGCATTGGCACTTCAGCCTACTCAAAACAACTGGAAAGGATAGCCTGGAGCTCTGAGGACTGAACCAGATAAACCAGATCTCACTAGAAGGGGGGAAGTCCTATTACAAGAACCAGTAACTTACCAGGCTGTTTCCCCAGGAATCTATATAAGATAGGTCAGGCTTGTTTTAAAACACCTTCAGAGAGGGTAGGAGTATTTTCCAGTTGCTCTAATTGCAGACACAGCAACACATCCTGCTGTGCTTAAGGGAGGGCCTGGTTCTAAATGGTGCCAGTTAGTTAGGAGAAGGAGGCTGAGTTTATCAGCCTTTATACTGCCTGAACATACACCCTGGGAAACAACTATGAAAACTCAAAGTGTTGAGTTTTTAGCATCTCAGTGGAGCACTTCTAAAAGTTCCACGAAGACACAGGGGTAAAGAATTCCACTGTTCTTCCCTGCAAAGAACCAAGCTCAGGGACCTGTCTCGTAGCATTCTTTGTGTGTGAGGCTCTCCAGCAGCAGAGAGGAAAGCGAGCTGTTTCAGCAGAGGGGAACACTGAACAGCCCGTCCTGAACCTCACCCATTTATCTTGCAAAGGAACTTGACAAATGAAAGAGAGCAGCACCAAATGTCTCTCTGATGTGCAAGAGGACAGGGAGCCACGACCTCTGCTGCACAGCTGTCCCCTGCCACCTCCCCTCTGCTAACCTCACACTAGCTAACTTTCACACCCCTGGCGGGTAAAACATTCAGAAATAAAGAGAAGCCAGCCTCAACAGTGTGTGGCCTTTAATCCCCAAATGTGCAGGCAACATCACATTAAAACAGTAAAATTAATAGTTATTGGCTGTTTCTTCCCTTTAACTAATAACATAAATTTTTAAGGTTAAAGTCACATTTGCTGTGCTACATATGGTTTCTCAGGATCAAATCTTTAATTCTGTACTTGCCACTTAAGGCTGCAAGATGTATAAAGATGTATAAAGACATGTATATTCAATAAAATTATGTAGGAAGTACTGTGTAATTTCATTTTCTTCAGCAAAGAGGGTAGGAAGATTGAACAGTTAAAAACACAAACCTAAGAAAAGAGATCATAAATTTAATTTAGTTTGCCTCTCTTTCTTCAGATGCAGGACTTTGTAGTCAAGAGTCCTACCTGCCAGGAAAGACCTTAGCATCACTGAATCTGAAACCAACATCAGTAACAGCTTAGACAACCTCACGTATCTTCACTGAAATACAGACACAGGAGATTTCAAGTGCAGAATTAAAGGTTAGTTTCTACAACTGTCTGCATAGTAAAAACATGTTCTGCAGATATTCCACAAAACTTCCACTGTCTGCAATGTTCACTGAAAACAGAGGACAAAAAAAAAGTGCCAATGTCTGCAGTAGCTCTGAAACTGTAACAGCATAAAGGTTCTGAACTGCTAACTGTATCATATTCTTAGGTAGCCACATCTTGCAACAAAACTACTGCCAAAAATCAGACCTGAATGCAAGTTAACACTTGTTTTGTTTTCAAACTCTTTCTCTACTGTTATAGATGCTGTTCTTTGACACCTCTACACTACTGCACTATTGGTTTCAAACATAAACTTCATAGTTTTTCTTTTATCTCAGAGCCAACAACAGTAATAAATTACAAGAATATGCCAGGTGCCTGTAAAAGCCATTCATTCTCACAGTTTTCACCCCTGAGAATGACTTACAATGCAGAGGTCATGAGCATAAACTCTTAATACTTCACCAGCCTCAGTTTTTTCCTCCCCACTGTGGAATAGGAGAGCTTAAATCCTTTCCAATTCCCAACTCAGGAATGGAGAGTGCACTTTCATGAAACAGAGTTTCTTAAAAGAACCTGCTACTGGTCGTGCTGCTCAAGAGTACATAGGCAAATCTCAAACATCAGCACACAAGATTGCTTGAAACTCCTTCCTTTGCAACCTTGAAAAATGCTGAAGCATCTTATGGTTCCATGCTCTCACATCTAGACACAAAAATCAACACACAAGATGTACATGCTGCTTTTTTAAGTGCACAATAACTGAGATCTGCTCGAAATTTACACATCACTACCTCAAAAACAGGCTAACCAAGATCTTTGGTTTCACTCTGTTAAATTGCAATTGACTGTCCTCAGTTTGCCTGGCTTTTGGCTAGACTACAGTTACATAGAAATTGCAAAAATATTCTAAATGTGGTCACCACAAAGGGTAGTGCCTAGAACTGAGTAGTTATTGAATTGTACCCATTTCTACTTGAATCAAAAGCCTTTGAAAAGGCTCTCCAAGGCAGGTTTATTTTCAAGCACCAGCCTGCTCCTCACAGCACCCCAATTTTCCTAATTTTTTTCAACAGTCATCAAGCTGCCAATCATTTTCCTACTGAAGAATGTCACTTGTTAGAACAAGCCTTTCATGTGTAATTCATCAAATCAGATACTGATGCCGAGATTAGGAAAAGGAGCCAGTTTATAGTCCAAGACAGAACAAGCAGCATGTTAAAAAGTGAAATTTTTTGAAGAATGCAACCTCGTTTTCAAAACAGGCACAAATTAGGCATACCACAGCTGTGATGCATGGTAGCATGGTATTTAATATGCCAGAAGACTGCTTATTATGCATCAACTTGGAATAGCACAGGAGTGGCTGGGTACTAACACAGGAGATACAGGAGATGATCGGGATGCTGGAATTTGCATGGTGGTCTACCTAGAAGCAGTGGTTTTCCTGGCTTGGGCAACTTAACAATAAAAGGGTTGGACTTGATCTCAGAGGTCCCTTCCAACCTGGCTGATTCTATGATAAGGAGATCAAAAAGTGAGAAGAAAGAGGAAGGGGACTGAAGGCTTCAAGGCAGACAACAGAAATTACAACCCTTGATAGTTTTGTTTTTATCTTCAGTGACAGAAGGCCAGAGAGGAGAGTGTAGCAGAGATTTCTCATTTCTGACATTGTGGGGAAAAAAAGTAGAAATTATCCAAATATTTTGGTAAGAGGTTTCAGGAAACAGCAGAAAATACTCTGATACTGTGGCAATATGCCCGACTTTGAACCTGTAATCTTGCTCAGTGAAAAAGTTCACTAAGAACCAGAGCTCATCACATGGCTTCTCTGATACCATAAGCATCAGCAAGAATCAATTACTGAGTCTTTCTACCAGCTGAAGCTGCAATTACAATTCAACTTAAACTCCTCTGTTAACTTGAAATGGGACAGAGATCCATCCCAGAGCAGACTTCCACTTAACAAGAAGCTGACAGGAAGTTAGAGAAGACAGCGGTTTATAAATCAAAGGATTACTTTGAAACTGCTTTAAAGTTCCCAAAGCAGGTAACTCAAATCCTTTGGTAGCAATACTTCTACCCCACAGCACACAGATCCAGACTTGCCTCGTAGAACTTAGCAGCAATTCATGCTGAGACTCAGCACTGCCCAGACAGCAGCAGCCAGCACGACAGAGCAGTCTGCAAACAGCTGAGTGTGTCCAACAACAAACTCTTCAGCCCTGAATAGAGATTACACACCTTTAGCTCTTGCTACACAGTTCCAGCCTGCAGTGCATGTGCCCACTCTATCTTATGAACAAATTTCCTTTGATGTGTCATTTAAATCTGAAGGAAGGCAAATGCAGCTGTTTGAGTCAGCTGCAGCAAGTTACATCAACAGTTTCTTGTCAGTTCTGTACCAAACATGCTTCCACAAGAAGAAACAATACAGCCAATCTAAGGAAGATTTCTTTGCCTCTGAAGAATGACCTGAGATTTTCATCCACCTCCTTCTCCTGATCTAAAACTGACCCACCCACTATTGCTAGTAAATAAAGTTTTCATTTAAACACTCAGATTTAAGTTTATTCATACACAGCAAAAGTTCCACCTGCATATTAAAAAAAACAGATTAGAAGTAAATGTTTTATTCTTCCAACTAAATTCCAGTACTACAAGGGCAGTAAAACAATGATACACTGAAAAATTGCAGCAATAAACATTTGTTAAAGACTGATAGAATAAATAAAAACTACAAAAATGAGAAATCATATAAACCCATTCTTAACCCCCAAAAAAGTCATGGAATACAGAAATGCCCTCCTTCACTATTTCACAGGCAGTACTGTGGGCTATTTGCTTAAAATTGTCCTGGGATTACATTCTAACTTAACTGTGATTACAGCTTTGTTGTAGTGCACAGTTATGAAAACCACACTAACTTCAGTCAGAAGTGTCATTCTACATTTTTATTTACACAACCAGTGAAGGGCAACTTCTAGAACACCAGCTTTAATCCTTTACTTTTTCAAACTTATTAACATAAGAAGCCAAATCGTAATGATACAGCAAATGAGGCCACTGGTATTATTACAGGTAGCAAAGGTCCACATCCAGGTGGTACTGACATCAGGGAGCACTCCAAAACCAGTTGCTGCATAAGAGTGGTTGCCACTGACAAAAGCTTGAAATAACCTGTGTTCACAGGGGGAAAAAATATGGCATTGCTGCAAGTCTTTACTGGGACAGCTTGCAACAATAAAACAGGGTGTATAGGGCAGCCCACATATGCAGAAAGTGTGATTCATGAAACATCTGGAAAGAGAAAAAACAAGAGTTAATGACAGAGGTAACAAATGCCAGCTCATTGCAAACCTGCTGTGGCAGTATCAAAACCCAGCAGGCTATGGGAGACAGTTCTACATGTTTTACATGTTTTAAAAACAAGCTCATTTTCTCTCACACCTTCCTTTCAACCTCAGTCTTCCATATTATCCATTTCCAAGTATTTTACCTTAGGGCCTAGCTGAAGCTTAACAACAAACAACGGCCATTTAAATTATTGAACATTTGGTAATTCAATGCTGCTGCAGGGACCAAAAGAAACAGATACTCACAACTGGCAGGCTGTTCTCCATATCGTCGCATGATCTGGTCATGCGTGAACTTCACAAATGCGTCATATTGTTCTGCAAGGACAAAGCATTAGAAGTGCATTAAGTTTAACTCAAGCTGAAAAATATTCGGGGCTAATTTTTATACACAGAAATCATACAAAGTTATACACACACCCACTACTAGTCATTTTAAGTGACATTACACAGTTCATCGCTGTCATTTCCTTCTTATCCCCCAGAACAACAATGCAGCACGTCCCCTTAATTAAAAGACTTCCCCTTACAAACTTCTGTAATGAGGAGGACAGCAACATGCTTGAAGAGAATTATGCTGCACGTAAACAAAGACCTCAATATACCTAACTCCTGCTAATGTCACACACTGTATTTTGAAGTAATGAAGTGTGCCCATTTCACAGATCCATAACGGAGGCAGAGTAGCTACAGTGAACATGGCATTAAGGTCAGTGTTAGGGTTGGAAACAATTTCTCTGCTCCTATCACTACCAGATGTAAGAAAGTTAATTCAATGAAATGGAAACACAGAAGTGCAGGAAAGGGATTTGCTACAGAGTTAGAAATTCTTTTTTGGTGACCACCAGAAAAATCAAAAGCAAACGAGAAACTAAAAGGATGAAATGCTAAGTGACTAACACCAAGTAATTGCAAGCACAAAAGCAGCTACTATAGGAGACACATAGTTGACTATGGACTGCATGAAAACAGCTACTGTGCCATCTGAAATGAAATTTAGATATGAAACGTACTAATTTGGCTTTGAACTAAGCTCTCTTATTTCCCAGAAAGGTTATTCTTTCTATACACGCATACATACAAATACATTTGCAGTATTTTATTCAGTTTTAATATTGCACTCATCAGCAGGATACACCTTTCAGAATTAGGAAATTGAACAAGGAGAGTAATATCTACCAGATGCCGCTCCTCTCCATTCCCCTTCCTCCCTTGTGGAAAAATACATGTGCAGCAATGTGGGGTGTTCTGAGAAAAGGGCAAGGTCAAAGAAGGCAATCTTGAACCAAAAATGCAGTTAGATTTGTAGTGGTTCCTAGTCCCACAGGTTTGCCCCATTAAAGTTCCCATCCTCTTGCAGGGATGAGCTTCACCTTTGAAGTAAACAGGGTATCAGTAATCAGCAAGTAGTGCAGCAGCAGCCCAAAGTATGGACTGGACCCAAAGATCTAAGGACATTCATCCCTGACCAAGGGGGCCCACAGTCACAGCAGCCAGTTCCCCTCTGCCCACAAGCAGGACCTGTTTCACTGCAGTTCCAACCAACGGCTTTTCAGCAGCCCTGCAAAGACTGTAGCCAAACAACAAAGTAACACAAGGAGCAGATCGAAGGACCTGTTGCCCAGAAACCATTCCAAAAAATAACAGCAACTAGAACTTTTCCTAAAAGTATGTGTTAAAGGCCAAATATGAGCTTGCAAACTTCCTTCTTTAAAGCTGTATGTCAACATACACAGCTGCTTTGTAACATCAACTTTGTTTGAACTATGGCTTTGCAAATTTTAAAAAATCCAGTTACTAAAAAGCCCCTTTCTTGTGGCATTCAGATTCAGAAGTTAAGCAATCCAAAGGTAATAGCAACCTACAATGAACAATTTGAAAATTTAAGTGAACGCTGGTAAAGATACTTATGTCACTGTCATCCTGTATCATATACATCCTATTTCAAGTCAAAAGCTGGCTAAATGACATGTACACAAATATGATTACTGTAGTCTTCACCTCAACCTTTAATATGAAAGGCTGTTTTTCACAAATTCTAGAAAACCTTTCTAGTCAGTCTTTCATTTAGCCCCTTGCAAGCCCAAGTTCATGCTAACACAGCAGTTTCAGGTAACAGAAGCAGGAAGGGAAATTAGGGCATTACAGTGATCTGAGTTTTCCATTTACCAAATGCTCATTCTGCATGAAAAGCAACTCTGCTCACAAAGAACATGGGAAAAGAAAAGAATAGGCAGTACCTGGCTAACTACCTACACAACAACTGTGATTCAGAAAGGAATAAAGGAAGTGTCTGAATGTACACGTTCAGTTAAGTCCCTTGAAAGAAGCTATTCAACTGAGATTTATTATGGAATTTCCAGTTAATTTCCATTGATTTCACTGAGAATCTCCTTACTGAACAAAGTTTAGAAAAGCATATAACCATTCTGTCAGGAGACAACTACAACTGGCCTTCTATGTAAGGAATTTCTAAATTCTTTTGGCAGTCTCTTTCTAAATTCCCATATAATGCTGAAAATGTATTATTGGCCTCGTATATGAGATGCAGTAACGTGATCTTCCTAATTGCCCTTGGTACAAGTAAACCCAACTCACCTCACTAAACCACAACTCCCCAGATGGAATTCAATCCCCTCCTTTCCCAAAACCAAAAATGACAATGCTCCCTTTGGGACTGAAAGATGGAGCACATATAAGGAACTTGACAGAAGGATTTCCTGCTTGTAAAGAACTACAAGTTGGTACTCTGAAAGCGTCTGAAACAAATGTAAATCTATCTGGCCTTCAAATGGTTATGATCAGTGCTAAATGAAATACTTCTAAGAGAATACAAGAACTAACCTAATTCCTAACAAACACAAATTAGGAGAAAAAAGTTCTGCAGTCCTAATTCATCAGTTTGAAGCAGGTTAAAAAGAAAAACACAGAAATAGAACATTAGGCCCACAGCAACAGAAGTATTCAGGACTCAAGTTGTAAATAGATGTAGATTTACAAAAGACTTAGAACTATAGGAATTTCTTACACAGAAATGGCAGATCAGCAAGCACAGAACATGAACTGAATCTCAGGTGCAGAGACAATACTATCACAGGCAACCCACAATCCAGACACAGGTCTGGTGACTTTCAGCACAGGAATGCCTGTAGAAGGCTTTATTCACACACCTGAAGAGATCAGAAAACTTTAATTCTGATGTGTTTTCAGGTGGGAAGCAGAACAGCTGTAGGTACTCAAACACAAGTCTGCTGCTGAATGGTGCACTCAGATGCTCATTATAATCACACTAAATATTAAATTAGATACCAGATCATACTGTGAAGGCACCTACTCTGAATGCACCAGAATTTAGGTGCTCAAATGCCAGCAAGAGGCTTAGAAGTAGAGGACTTCAAAAACTGAAGAAAGGTCATATTTACAATGCTGACATTAACATGATCCTTTTGGAAAGATAAGCTGGCATCAGGTGCCAAAAATTTCAGCTGAATGGTGTGAAATACAACAATTCAACATGGCACATCAGAAATGCAGTTAAACTGACTCTCAGGCAGATATCAGACACTGCTGGCAGCAGTGTAATGTTAATACCGGGAAGAGAAAGGGAAATCTTAGGTACTGTCATCTTGCCAAATTCCAGAAAAAAGAAGTCAGTTCCCAAGCAGGGAAAAAAATCCAAAACACAAGAAGTTCTTCACAAAGAGCTCTTAGGGCAGTAGAATACAAAGTCCTTCTGGGAAAAAAAAATGAGGAGGAAACGATCAACTCAGCCATGATAGCAAGAGAAAGTTCTAACTGAAATAAAACCACTATTTTCACTGATTAGTAATACCCAGGAGTCATAGTTTCTATCCAAAGCAGCACAGACCAAAAAAAAGGAGTAAACATTGTTTTTTCCATTCTGCATGTAACCCCATTCCTTAATAAGATAGGTCAGGAAAAAAAAAAATATTGTGTCACAAAAATAAGAAAAAGTTTTAAGCTTCCAAACTCACTTTAACACATCATTCTGAATTGTAAGATACCTGCAAGTTTTGTGGTCAAAATTTCTTCATACTCTTCACGGATTTTCTCTTCACGTTCTTTCAGCAAACGTTCACAGATCATTCCAACTTGTCTGAGAGTAAAGAGGGGCTGTTCTTTTTTCAATGGTGATGATGCTGCAGATGAAGTACCTAAGATTAAATATTTGGGCACAACAATTTACAAGTAGATCAGAATCATTTTTATAATCAGTTTTCTTCACATCCTTTACATTAAAGGAAGTTTACAAAATATCTGGAGAAATCTTTCTCTGCTACTTGAAACTCCTAATTACTATTAAAGTAGAACTGGACACTCAAAAGGAACATATCTGCAATGGACAACAAGCACAACTATCAAAACACCAAGAGTGTTACACAAACACTATGAACACCATTTATATGGGAGTTGCCATGTACAAATTTAAGCTTCTATTTTATATAAAAATTACAGTACAGTATCACAGTACAGTATATTAGTGCAATGATAGCTGCTTTGCAAAAGCCTATTACAATATCAGGGACAGGGTATGCAGGACAGTCTCTTGAAAACAAATGCCAGCTTTACATCCTACCGATTCTTAAAATGAGAAGCTACCATCTTCCAGATCAATGCTAGTATTGACAAAAAAAGGCAGCAGTAACTGGTGAGAATGTGCCATAAACCACCAAGTAACTAGAAAAAATTATTTACACAGAGTCTAAAAACACACAGAATTACACGGAATTTTCTGGGTACCTGGCAAAGCTGGTCCAGTAAGGAGAAATGCATGTGGCTGTGCATCAGTAGAACAACAAGGATCTGTCTGCTGGAAGCTATTTTCTAAATGTCTTCTCTTCTGCATGCGTTTGTACTCCTGTTTTATGTTGTACAGAATTTGTTCTAAAAAGAAAAAAGAAAAAAACCCTAAAATAGTTATATGTCACCATTTTGCTTGATTTTCACTCAGACACCAAAATGCTGTAAGCAAATAACAGATGACAAAAGAGAGACTCTTACAACATGGTCTGCAAAACCCACTGTGTTTTTTTCAAGACATATACAATTAAACTACTTACAAGAAATGTTAACCCAGACTTTTTTCACCAGGAAAATACCAGCAAAAACACTGTTAGTTAAGGTCAAGTATTGGTGCCAGAGTACTGCTAACAAAAATGAATGGCATCCTAAAATTTAGGAGCTATCAACTATACAATACACAAGGATAAAAATTAGGCTATAAAACTTATACTGGTATTAATAATCTTCCCTTCATACATTTAATTTGCAACCATCTTTCTCCCCCACACAAGGTTTATCACTCATACACTTAACAGTAACAACAGACTCTAGAATAAAACATCCACATGAAATACCATTCCACTCTGTAGGTTTAGTGGCCTACAGGCAGCACAGTGAAGAAGAAGAAAACACAATTTAGACAACATGCAAAGAGCACCTACCACTTAAAATATCAAAGAATTGGAAACTACAGGCAAAACACAGAAGCCTTCCACAACATTTCTGACAGCCTCAGATCTATCTAAATAAACATAATGGATGGATCAATAGTCTCTTTTAAAGGAGTGTGGCAATATGTAGTCCAGCACTTGATTACACTAAATGAAATACAGCACATTATTCTAATAACATCATCTCCACTATAGAATGACAAGGGAAAATGCAATCCCTGCAATGGAACTACCAATCCCGTGTGCCTTCTCCCTGAAATTCCATGTACCAAACGACTCTCAGGTGCATTAGTGGCCTTAACTGCATATCCTCTAGCAATGTAAAATATTAAAGAAAAAAAAAGTATTTTTCTATTTTTTAAGGAGACCTACCCACAAAGAGGCTTCTAAAAACTCTCTTTATGAGAATTCTTAGTTTTAAATGCTCAAATACAAAAAAAAAAATCCCTACCAGACTGGCTTTTACTCAGACTTCTAAAGTTTTTGGCAAAGATAGCTTTCCAAAACTCACATACATACAAATCCACGTGATCACGTCAAAGTTGCAAAGGACTCCACTCAGAACCTTCCTATTTCTGTTCTGCATTTTGCCAATACAAAATTCTCAACCAATTTTCACGTCTGTGATCCCTACACTACTGAGGTTCCATATCTGATCATTTTCTAGTAAGCAACCATGTGATGCAAGTGACTTCAGCTACCAGCTTATTCAGTCAGTGGCTGAAGCCTCTAGTAGGCCAAGCAGAAGCAAACGCTGGACAATTCTTAGCTCAGATGTTTAAATATTGGCGTAGTTCTTCAATTCTGCAAGTCAGTCTAGAGGCTTTTGATTTACAAAAAGAAAGAAAATTGTTTCCAGTCAACAGGAATACCAGCATTTTCAGCAAAGGAGCTTCTTGGATTTTGTCCATTGATTAAAGCCTTTATACCTTTTCAGTCCAGTGTCTGAAGCTGTACAATTTTCAGCTCCCTTAGATGAGGTCAATAACTTGGTTCAAAGAAGCAGCAAATGCAGAAGACATAAAAAGGAAACACAGCAGGAAAGTTGAAAACTAAGCAAGTGGGGAGAAAAGTACTTGAGGGGGCTTAAGGATTCCTATTTTTTGTAGGACAAGATACATACACTGCAGCATGGTACAGAAATATATAAATCGTGTTAAACCACGATGGACTCAGGCTTCCAAAATTAAACAGAATCCCATCTAGAGTTTGTGAGAGGCACACACACATCAGTCAGAGAATGGCCCTGCAACATTTTTACTCAATGACATTATGGTGGTAAAATAATACTCCTCAAAATCAAGTGCTGTTATCGCTAAAGTGATTCTGCATAATTTTGAGAGAGAACCAAACTAGCTCATAAGACCACATCTGTCCTAAAGCACGTCTACACTATGGGAAACACGACTGCACACATTCACACTGTATTTGCATTAACTGAAAAATGTAACAGACCAAGTCCATCCTTCACTACGACTACTTCGTCTTGGGCATACTTTACAAATCCCACATGAAAAATATCAGCCAAATTTCAAGGGTAACAACTTGAATAAAAATCTTCTCTACAGCTCTCCTTTGTATTACCTTTTTGCAGAAACATTCTCAGACCACATTAACCACCAACATCATGGAGGACAAAAAAAGTAAACAGACTGGTCAACTGAGAAAACAGCAAGAGTTAAATCAACAATCATCAGCCAGGTTTCCTCCAGTCCTAATAACCCTAGAAATTAAACAGGCAATAATTTAGAGAAAATGTTAAAATACCAGCCAAAATAGAAGGAGTAAAAGCAACGAGGTGGGGAGTAGGGAAACAGGGAGAGGCAGCAAAGAATTTAGGTACTGACTTTGGGAAAAAAGTAACAACTAGGATAGAAAATGAAGATTTGTGCACCAAAGACACATTATTCTATTCCAGATTATACTGAATTTCGGACAAAGAAGTCTCTTTTGTTACAGCAGTTTCATCTTTTAATTTGGCAACACTTTTTAATTTGCCACCTTCGAATTTAGCTCCGAAAATCAAAAACCGCAAAAAACGCCATGACAGATACATTGGGAGATCCCTGTCCTGACAAAATCACTTTGACAGTTTGCATTACTATGACTTCAGGTGAAGGTAGAGAACTAAGCACAGTGAGATAGAGGAAGAGACTATTTCATGAACATGACACTGACTACATCGCAAACAGCAACCAGGAGAAAAAAGCCTGAAATGTTAAGGCCTGGCTGAACACTTGTTTGGCACGTACATAACCTAGTTTGGTGAACGATATTCCTCTACTCAGACAAATTTAGGAGATGTGGCGCAACATTGCTCAGTACAGAGAACTGGACTACAAGTTGTACTCAGTGCCTTGCTGATAGTAGGCAAGGTGACTGTGAGAATGACTCGTCTCATGCCTTTCTGATTTAAAAAAATCGAGATTAACAGTCAAGAAACACAAGTTTAACGTAGCACCAAACTTTCAATAACTTCTCACATAACTGATCAGACTAGGAATGCTTCAAATAAAGCAGGCACATTTTTGCACCAGCAAAGACTGAGTAGACATTTTTATTAACTTACAGTGGCATAAAATCTTTGACTTTAAAGAAAATGGCTTCACTGTGAATTGAAATGTAAGACTGCAAATATTTATGACTCATTTTAAATGAAAATCTGAATGCTAAATTAAAATAATCTAGTACAGTAAGAAAAGTTGTTTAAGTGCACTAAGATACTTCTGTCATTTTCAGTTCTGCCTCATAAATCCACAAAAATATGTGGAAAATGTTTTTATAGCATCTCAGCACCTGAGAGAAGCCATGAAATATTAAGGCAGTGCAAGCCAGACAATACCTACATAGCAGACATCTAACTGGAAAGACCTTTAAAGCTCTGGCCCAGTTAAACAAAGCTTAGAGTTAGCAGATCCAACCTAGTTTTGCTTCCAGAAAACCTTCCTGCCTTTTTTAAGTTCAGTTTCTTAACCTCTCTTACTTCCAATTAGCTCTGACTATTCCCTCTGCAGTTGACAACTGAATTAAAATGTGCATTTAACTGGTGTCAAACACAGGACAGGTTGTTTTATGTGTTCCTCAACGCAGAGGCCCAAACTGTCCTTTACAACAATGACATGCATTTTAATTAACAAATTATTTTATATAAAAAACTAGAATCTTAAAGTACACCCGTTAAAGAAAATCTGGTTTATGTGAGTTTCTCTAGGACCATAAAATTGAAGTGAGAACTTGAATCCCATATTACAACTTATTAGGTATTTTAAAGAAATACTTTCATCCATCTTATAGGTGCTAAAGTTCAAATCAAACGTTGTAGATCATACAGTGATTTCATCTGAGGTGACAAAAGGAATATATTTAATATGATCAAACAGACATCTCTGTGGCCTATCCTCAGTTTCTTTTAAATTTCAATTTATCCCCTCTACTCAGTGTTTCCTACTGGGGTTAGAGATGCCTCTGAAGGCACAGAGCTATTTAGCAGGGAAGACCAGGCAGAGGTGCTATAAGTGAAAATGAGACTTGCTGAATCTAGGGTATCAGTAAGAAAAAGCCACACTGCTAACGCACTGAAATGAATTAGTACTTCATAAATAACATTTCAAATTCAAGATGACTACGACTCTCTGCCAGCTTCTTATACCACCTTCTCCTCCTTCAGGTCCAAGGCTAAGATAAAGAATGATAAACCAAAAATGCTAGTGTGTCACTGTAACCTCTGAAGGGATTCAGTCAAATATACCTCAATACAATTAAATGCATGGACACTTTTTTTATCTGGAGCTGTGTGCTGAGACCATAAAGCTCAGTACACAGGTTCCTGAAATACTGCATTAAGAAAGACAGTTTTCACACCAATTTTCTTTCAGAACTTGAGATGCAACTCAGAGAAGAAAGATTTCCTAATGAAGAGAGGATGAAACATCAAGGGGGCAAATCAGAGTCCAAGTCTGACATCTGAAATATGTTCTGTCATACTAATGGATTACAAAGCCAAATATTCATTTCCAAGGAGTAATGAAGTCTTCTAACTTCCTTTAATTCATGATAAAAAGTCAAGTTAATCTTTTCCAAAATTCTGTTATCTACTTCCTTCATCCTGACCTATAATTACCTAGAAATTATGTACAAAGGAAACAGCAGAGCAACATGAAAAGGTAACAAGGCAAACAATTATTTTCTCCATTTTAATAACTGCTTATCAACTGTGTAGGTGCTGATTGTTCCCCTGAAGGATTTTTCTTCTTTTAGCCTGATTTTTGAACTAGCAATCTCTCATCTCAGTTTCTGGCTTCTCTCATTTAGCTGAAGGAAAATTCAGCAAAACACACAGGAAGGTGACTCAATAGGCTGAAATCAGAGTAGCAGTTTTCCTGGCCTGAAATGGAATCTTAAGCTCAGGTTTCAGTTTGCATTGTCAGTATTCGACATATGTATTCCAACTTGAACCATGCCTGAGATTTCTTCTGAGTAATAATCAAATGCTATCCTGATGTCAACAGCATGCATCTTTAGGGATTTCAGCTTCTGTTAAAGCAAAACTGCTCCACTGACCCTAGTTCAAATTTATGTATAACATTTCCATTAGGCCTTCGCCCTTATTCAACATCTAGGTGATGCTACCATAAGCCTAGTTTTGGTCTCTCTACCAGACTGACACAGAATGTCAATTTTAAGATGCCAGCTTCCCCTAGGGGCAGCACTGCAGCAGAGCAATAGGTAACAGTATTCCCCACTTTTTTCTACCTACTTAACCAAGGAATTCACAGGCACAGACAGGCATTACAACCCAGCTAGTCCTCTTACTCACTTTGGTCACACTGATGTGACCATTTTACTCCACTGATGTTTCTTAATTAGGCATGGTCTATTAAGACTCCAGTAACAGAATGTATACTTTTGGAAACCATGCTCACCTCAGAGGAGCATGCTGCAAGCCCAAAAGAACACTGATAAAGGGTACACAGTGACACTTCACAGCCACTGCTATAGCTACACAATGGACAGGAGCAGCTCACAATGGACTCTGGGGCACAGAGTAGACTTCCTCTCGAGATCCAATTACTTAGGGTTTCAGGCTGACGAAGGTTCTGGTTCTCCCACAACAAGCTGGATGCTCACATATGCATTAGCTCATTCTGCAAATGTGTTATTTCAGGAAATCCCAGTTCTCCTGATCAAGGGGTTGAGGAATGAAAAATAAATCAAGCAATGCAAAATGTATTAGACACAGCAATTAGATCTTTCCCTTCACATAAAAAATTGTCACATTGCATTTATCAGACTTGCCACTGAAACAAAAAACTGCTTCAACATTTTATGACACCTACAACCAAGGATATTTAATATTTATAGTCACCACTATAGGCATCTATGCAGAAATTTCTCATATAAACTAAATTATCAAGTCCATTATGTGACTTTTTTTAAGGGGTGGGAATGTTTTGTTTTTTAAAATCCTAATGATTTCTGCAATACTGGAGCACAATGAGAAATCTGGCATCTCACCAAGATAATTTAGCAATAAATACACATGTGGATAAATGTTAACAAAACAGAAATTAAGCAGAAAGATGCAGCACTACTATGTCACATTCCAAAGCCCTTAGATCTGTTCTTTAAAAGCCAAACCTGTGCTTGGCCACTGCCTGACCAAGTTTGAGACAGAAGTACTTCTGTTTGCTCAAGAGGGCAACTCAAAGGTCATAGGAGGACAGCTTATAGGGAAGACTAACGGTTCTTCCTATTCAAAGGGCAAAGTAATTTTCTTGCATTAACTTTGAAAATGTGTGTCAATTATGTCAATTTTTTCCAGACTATTCTCTGAAAGAAAAAGGTATATGTTAAAGGCAAATTCATCTACCTTCTGTTTGTAAAGAGTCCCTCCTGAGAGAGGGACTCTCACAACCAACTCCCTTTGCAATCTGTAACTAGCCTTAAAGCAGTAAATACCAATTAGGCACACTCATTACTAAGTACTGCATAAATTCAATAGTTTCCACATTCTGTCAAACTTTTGACATTATCTCTGCTTGGATTTCGACCAGTGACCTGAGTTGAAGGCCTGTTCTCAAAAGCTCCACCCACTGCAATTTTTGGTTTGCAACATTAGTTAGTTGCTGGGGAAGTGTCAAGGCAGATGAATGTTTCAGATGGAGGAAAACCTGCACGTGCAAAAGTCTGTGGATTTTTAAGTGATTTCATGAACAGCTTTTAACTACAATATTCTTGTATAAAGTTCTACTGGCAAGTTAAACTGATTTTGGATGGAGTGTGGAAAAAGAGCTACCGATCTCAGTTTGTCTTTACAGTTACTATGTACCAGGAATTAGGAGATTTAAATCCCTAAGGTCAACACTCTCTCTCCCTTACACCCCCCACCCCATTTCTTTGGACTGTATCTGCCACTGTAGCTTCAACCTCAGAAATATCCAGACATGCAGGCTTTTAACAACTGACTTGCCTCTGAATTTAAAAAATGTCAGTGTAGTTTTTTCTTTTCTTTCTCCCCACTTCCAAACATAATCTTTCATCATGGTAAAACTGAAAACAAGGGTTCCAAAACATCCAGCAGAGAACAGAAAAAAATAGTACTGCCACTGCTTTCTCCCTTCACCCTCTAGAATTCATTTAACAGCTTTGAACAGCAGCCTTCTGACTTCAGAGGAAACCCAACAAGTGTAATGCATTATTCACAGGCATCCAGACCCAACTGCAGTTTTTCTGATTATACAGAACAGTCTCATTTATAGGTAGAACTCACATGAAACTAAAACTCATCTGTAGTATTCAAGCAGTAGAAAAATTCTTAGAGGAGCCACTCTTTCAAAACTAAACCCATTTTATGCCAGGCAGGTATGTTCTGCACTGCTTATAGTGAACACAGTTTTAAAAACACCATTCTACATGCAAACAATGGTATTCAAAAATTAGCAAACATACTTAGAGTATGCTCAAGCCAGTAAGCACAATTCCATTTGGCTGCCAAATTCACCGACAAACTGGAAGTGACCTAACAGCTGTTCAAATAACCAAAAAATATTAAAACATTCTCACAAGAGATAAATTTCATCTTGAGTAAGCCTACCCTCTCTCAAACAGACGTACTGGTTATTTGTCTATGACCACTCTATACAGGCAGCTGTTTTCTCATCTGACTCAGTTCTTAGCACACCCCTCAATCAATCTGTATTCTACTTCTAGATAATTCTTTTTTGAAATAATGAACGATGTAGTAAGAAATCCTGGTGTTGATACAGTTTCCACTGGTTGAAGTTAAACACCAGCAGAACAGAACAGAAGAGAAATGTTTATGGGTGAACTTAAAGTATAAGCATCAGGTTTTATATCCAGAGCTCTGATTTCATATGACCCCTACTTTTCATTAGACAAAATTCAGATAGACATTTTTTAAGTGCTAGAAATCTAAGCATTATAGTAACAGATTGAGAAAACCGTAAGTGAAGTCAACTGAATTCTGGCTATTGTTAACAAATTTCCCAACGCAAAACGGTGACTCAGTTGGGAACACTTTTCAAGTCAGACTGGAATTCTTCTCACACAGAGCAAGATTCATCTAACCCTAATGTAGACGTCTGAATGCTTACATGGTCACAAACTCAGTTTGCAGTCACTGGAAAGCAATACATATTTCTGCAGCACACTTTGCCTCAGCCTTAATCAGAGCTCTAGAATAAACCATCTGTTTCTTCCAACTAACTATCAAGAAAACTACAAACTATTAGGTCAGACATACATTTACAAAGTTAGATGAGATGAATCCCACATAATCTTTCAAGTGTCCCCTTTAAAATGATACACTCTGGTTTGCTCACAAATGGTTGAAATGAAATACAGACAATGTGGTAATAACCCCAAATTCAGCTGAAGGTAAAAACTAAGTAAGCTGATTAACAGACACATTTTTACCAGCACGGTTTATTTATAGATTTGTTTTTCCTGTAACATAAACCAAAGAGAGAGTTTTTAAGCCAAATCCATGCAAACATGCACAATTTATAAATGCTTCAAGCACTGTAAGAAACATTTTGATTTACTGTCCTTCCTTCTTCATTATATTATACAAATGGCTTACATAAAATACATCCTTGTCTGTACAGAATCACCTTTTCACACAGATTACTACCTGCACCTCTGATTTTCTCAGGAGATAATGAGACCTGTATATGCTCAATTTCAGTAACATTTCGATTTCTTAAGCCCTTCAGAATCATTAAGATAGGAGCTTAGGTATTACCTCAAATACTGCTGTAGGTTGTCTCTACTAAAAATCTTATTGATTTGTCTCCTTTCCGCAATATATATTTACTGGCCAGATGATATTTATATTAAATATTCATAACCTAAGCTCTTCAAATCCTAAAGAAACAAGCCAAAAGAAATCCTTGCAAAGAAGCAACACTTATCCTCTAAATTAATTCTGATTTTAAACATCTCAAAGTACATGTAATGCCTCACTGTATCAGGGAGTGCCATCCATCACAACTCTCATCTCAGACCGCTGACTCATTCAAGATCTTTTCCTAGAGGTTCAAAAAAAAATCAAGGCACTGATGCCAAGTTTAACTCTGTATGTCCAGTATACATTTCCTCCACAGCAATTTTTTTGTTATTTTATTAAAACCTGTAAAAAAATGCATTCTACGATATAGTTTTCAAACCAAGAATAACCACTGTCCTATGTGGAGGAGATGGCAATTTGAAAACCCACTCAAACTTACTGCCTGGTAATCTGGAGCCAACTTTTGTTATAAAAGAGTACCGAATGCAACGGTGGAAGGAATTCTGCTGCAACAACTGCAGAGGGCTTATTTCCCCTGCACACAAAGGACACGGATGCATCCATACCTCGGCGCTACAGCCGCTCATGGCCGCGAGCTGCACCGTCCCTGAGTGCATTGCTGGAAGCTGCCCACTGGACTAACCATAGCACGGGCCAATCAATCCCGAGTGCCCAGCCAAGATTCATTCCTTTCCCTTTCTTCTCTCCCTACTCGCTGCTAAGAAGAACTCGGTTGATTTTTAATTGACAACCCTTACACAAGCAGACCTGGAGCTTTAAGGGCTGCGACTGACTCATCTCTCGCAGGTTAAGAATGTAAAAGGGTTTCGTTCTTGCCCCGCGTCTCCCAGACGAGGAGAACGCCCGATTCCATTTTATCTGCCCTAAAGGCAACTCTCACCCTTGCACACAACCGCCTTCAACGCTCGGTTTTCCTATGGAACTTTAAGGATGCCATAGAACGGGTCAGCCGGGACGGTGGCCCGCATTAAGGGGCTGGGAGCAGAATCACCCCTTTGTTTTATCCGCTTTTCCCTTTTCCCACTGGTGTTTTGCGGGTGATGGATGACAGGCCGCCCTCCAGCTCCTTCCCTCCCCCCACGATATCTGAGCAACGGGAGGAGGAGGTGCCG